CCTGAAGGCAATCAAGATGCTAAAAGCTGGAAAAGCAGCAGGATCAGATGGAATCCCAGCTGAAGCATTGAAAATGGACCCAGAGACAACAGCAGACTTGATGACGCCACTACTGGAGAAGGTGTGGAAAGAAGGCAAAGTACCTGAGGATTGGAAGAAAGGATACTTATTCGAACTAACAAAGAAAGGAGACTTATTCGAACTACCAAAGAAAGGAGACTTAAGTCAATGCAAGAACTGGCGCGGAATTATGCTCCTGTCCATCTCAAGCAAAATACTAAACCGCCTCATTCTGGAGAGAATCAAACATGCCAACCTGGATGAAAAACTTCGACCGGAACAGGCTGGATTCAGGAGAAACAAGTCATGCATTGATCAGATCTCCACATTACGGATCATCATTGAACAAAGCTTGGAATGGCAGTCACCTCTCTATCTCAACTTCATCGACTTTGAAAAGGCCCTTGACGGCGTCGATAGAGAGGTGATTTGGAAACTACTTCGCTATTACGGGGTGCCACCGACAATTATACATCTCATCCAACAGCTATACGACAATACTGCATGCCAAGTAATCCACAATGAGAAACTTACGGAATCCTTCGAAGTGAGGACAGGAGTGAGACAAGCTGGCTGCCTACTATCGCCAATGATTTTCCTGGTTGCAGTAGACTGGATAATGTGACAAACAGTGGGCAATGAGGAAACAGGCATTAAATGGACTCACACAAAAAACTTGGAGGATCTGGACTTCGCCGATGCTATATGTCTGATTTCCCACAAACTGGGAGGTATGCAAATGAAAAACAACAAGTTGGCAGAACAAGCATCCAAAGAAGATAGGACTCCAGGTGGACATGTAGAAAACAGAGGTGATGAAGGTTCCTGGGCAACACCACCAACAGCAACAACAACAGACAACAATTAGCATGAATGGGAGGAACTTGAAAGAAATAACCTCTTTTACCTACCTGGGAAGCATCGTCTCAACTACAGGCGGAACTGATGAGGATATCAAAGCAAGAATCGATCGGAAAAGCAAGACAAGCTTTCACTACTCTCAAGTCTGTGTGGAGGTCAACAGCACTCAGCATCAAAAATAACATCCGGATTTTCAACTCCAATGTGAAGTCAGTCAGTGCCGCTTACTATACGGATCAGAGACTTGGCCAGCGCGTCATAAAGAGCACCTCAAACAAACGACAGACCTCCATTATCAGTTGTCTTCCCTCAATACTTAAGATCAGATGGTCGGCCAGAAAAGTTCAGCAACAGAGATCCCAGGGACCAAACCAACCAGGAAGCGATTGTGCAACAAATAGGCAGGAATAAATGCAGATGGGTTGGCCATACTCTGAGGAAACCATCAAGTGACATCACTAGACAAGCCATTGCTCGAGTGGAACTCGAAAGGGAAGCGGCGGCGAGTTGGTCGTCATTGCAAGGGTGGCTTGGAGGAGGTCATGTGAAGAGGAGATGAAAACGTGTGGGCAGACTTGGAGCCAGGTGAAGACTCTAGCAGAGAACCGAACGCAATGAAGACGCACGGCTGAAGCCCTATGTTCCTCTAGTAATTTAAGGAAACAATAATAATAATAATCATAGCTTGATTCCATACAGTATTTTGGTACATCTATAGAATCTTCAGCATGTAATATCAATAGCCAAAAATCAGTAGACCAACCATTGATATCAGGTGTGCATCGGCTGGGCATCGAACCCCGGACCATGTGCACGGTCGGCGAGCGTCCTAACCGCTGTGCCACCGATGCACATCAGTTTAATCACTGTGTTGATATGTGAACATAGCCCTCATTCTTTTCACACATATAAACTCAATAGCAGATGGAATCCACAGAATTCACTTCCGAGTTAGAAAACGGACATGGTAAGTTGACCATGCTAAACTGTGTAGAATAAAACGAAAATAAGATGGTGGAGGTTAGATCCTAGCTGGCAGTTATAGGAAACCGACACACACTAATAAATTCTTAGACTTTAATTTATCCCATCTAGAATCGGTACAGATCGGTTCACTTAAATGTGTATATAATCAGGCCAAGAGTCAAACTAGTAAGCCAGAAGATTTAAATAATGAAATCAAGCAATTAAAGAAAATATTACCAGTGGATAACTATCCACCAGAATTTATTCAGAAATATATGAAGAACCATAGAAAAAAATAAGATTACTAATAAGAATGACGAAAATAATATAGAATTCAAAGCCTCCGTAGCACTAGGGTATAAAGAAGGAACATCAGAAGGCTTAAGTAGGATTCTCAATGAAGCTGAAATTCGGATGGGACACAAACTGACCAACCAAGTCTCTAAGAGATAAACTTTGTTGGTTTAGGGACCCAATAGATCTATCCTCCCGCACAATTTCATATGAGTTTCTATCTATCCTATTTTTTTCTTCCTTCACGTTCCCCAGTGGAACATAGGGCTCCAAGCTAGTGGCTTGAAGTTTCTGTAGCAGTGCTTATTTTACAGGATGGGGTTGTTAGCCTCATGACCAACCTTTCCTCTTTACCAGCATTATTTTTGGCTTAGCGAGGTAAAGGAGTGCGTCGGCCGGGGATCGAACCCCGGACCATTTGCATGGTAGGTGAGCGTCCATGTAATAACTGTTAGTGAGGTCAATTATACAGATGTCAAACTAGTAGATCGGGTTCAGTTAGAGTATTGGAACATTGGGATCTAGCTAGACCTCGAATAACTGATCCTACTAAGTTAAATAACTTAGGAAAAGGTTCAGCCATTGCATTGCATTCAATTGCATATAATCACAAAATAGGTTGGGACAGAGTGAGAGCGTTAAAAAGTAATATAGTCAGTTGGAGAGACAGAGAGGTTAATGCACTAAAGCTTTGTTTATCGATTCAACACAGCACACGCGCCATCGAAATGACGCAACGCCTAAACCGGAGATATGGGAAGTGGCAACATACACCAAAGGGAAGTTGGATAGACAGAAAGAGAGAAAATATAAGTAAGACAAATTGTGACTAAAATTGATATGATATTACATGGTTGGAGGCAATTGGTAGGATGCCTTGTTGGGACCTAGGTTTCGTGTTAGTTGGCACTCATCAGTAAGGCGTATCTGCAACCCTGAAGGAACTCATTTCACTTCTGAGATTCGAACCCACATCACCCAGTGCCGCGCAGTCAGAGACGTTACCACTGATATGATTGTGAGGAATAATTTATGCTCAAAACCTTGTCATCCACTTATTTAATTTTGCATAATTACATTGTGTGATTATGCATTATCGATAACTGGATTATCTAATATAAAAATTATAAAAATATAATATTTGTTGTCGTTACAATAAAGGCCAGTTATGCGGCGGATGCATTTTTTTTAACGTTGAATAACAGATTAGTAGTTATGGGGTGTCAAAATAATATCCAGAGAAGTTCATTAAAGTCAACAAAGGTTACAATAGTCGTAAACTTGAACTGGCAACGGTGGAGAAAAAGCCTCTGTTTTTATGTCTCCAATTCAAGAGAGGTACTCTTGCGGAGATTCTATCGCTACGTTTAACCAGAGGGTTCAAGAAAACTTTTTACTCTGCACGTCTGTGTTTATCCTTCAGTAACCGTTCACCCAGTAACTCTAAGATGTCTTACCTAACCTTAGCTCTTCTTCATGCATACACCATTTCAACTGTTCCTGTGGTTCAAGTTATATAGGGCGCATGATTAGGCAGGTTCGTCTATGGGTTCGACAACATTTACCAGCTTGGTTCAGCAGGGGGGGAAATTAACTGCATAAAAAGCTCGATCCTGTCACACTTGGTCGATACTGGACATCATATCGATGTCAACACAGCTTTCAGGGTTATATACCGAATTCCGAAGTCATTATCACGTACAGTTCGCTTACGTCTCCTACACATAGCTGAAGCTGTTGCAATAAAATCGACTAAACTGGAACTTTGTATCCAAAAAGAACACTTCCAGACGCTGTTCCTACCGTGGCCAAACTTGGATTGATGATTCTTCTTACCACCAAGAGTGCTCCTTCCCCTTAACCCTCTTGGTTTTTTTTTCCTTTGCTTATTATTACAAATCTTATTATTACAATTATTATTATTCGTCATAATTTCTGCCCTTCATGCAAACATTCTCTCAATACTATCGAATTTTCCGTTTATGCTACCCGGACTTATTATTAGTGATATTATCTCTTTTCTCAATATATGCCTCCACCTGTTTCATTTCACATATTCGTTATTTCATTATGAACCTCTCATTGCAGTCTTACTATCTCCTGTTTAACACAGACCACTTTGTACTAGCCACTCACTTGACACCTTTTATAATCTTGAACTGACTTGTTAATTTTCCTAACCCACACTCTACAAATCTATTATGACTAATCACCACCATTGTCTCCCATTTTACAATATTTTGTAATCGATTTCGGCCTAGCACGTTTGTCACACAAATACTTATTTTGACACCCGATAACTAATCCGCCGCATAACTGGCCTTTATTGTAACGACAACAAATACATTATATTTTATAATTGTGTAAGAACCTGAAGAGGAGAAATTATTGAAAAGAATATTCTTCGTTCAGATTGACTTTTAATTCATAATATGGGAATATTCCACACCATCAAATCTTATAATATAAAAATAAAATTTTCTATAGTTTGGTTTGTAAGGATTAGTTATGTTTTACGAGTTGATCACGGACTGATATCAGTGAGAGAACCATTGAAAACCAGGGAGTACTGGACAGCTGCTGTTTCATCCTAGTTTTGGGAATCATCGGCAGTACGCACCCACTGGGATTCGAACCCAGGACCTTCCGGTTACAAGGCAAGCTCGTATACCATTCAGCCACTGGGATCCGATTCAAACAGCAGCTGTCCATTACTCCGTGGTTTTCAATGGTTCCCTAACTGATATCAGTCCGTGATCAACTCGTAAAACATAAAAATAATATCTAAATATATTCACAATGATATGCAGTAAACTTACTAATAATAATTCTTCAATAACTAGAACATTTGCTCTAAAGATATCATTTGTTGACCATTCAGTTGGATTCCATAGACCAGGTTTAAAGTAGATCAGTGCTCTGCCATCAGCGTCACATTGGGGTAGACGACAGACAACACCACTACGAAAAACATGTTCAACCAATGATGGTGTCAAATTGTTAAAGACGTCTGGATAACGTATTCGTAAGATATAATAGTTTATATACAATCTTAATGCATTATCACGATTAAATTTCTTAGCACGAAGAAATCTCAATAAGAAGCCATCATCAAGACATCCTTGTAAACCTGATAAAAAGACAAGGAAAATATAATAATAATAATAATAATGAAATAATCAATTTGATATGCATTACTTCTTATGTAAAGACATTAAATACACATATTCCTTTGCATTTCAAGTGGAACATAAGGCTTCTATTTCCGACTTTGAAGTCTCAGTAGCAATGGTGTTATTCACTTTTACGAGTTGATCGCCGATTGATATCAATTAGAGAACCATTGAAAACCCGCCAGGGAGTACTAGACAACTGTTTCATCTGCCTAGTTTGGGAATCATCGGCAGTACGCACCCAGGACAGAGTTTCCTGGAGTTTTAGTGAGAAATCGTGACCAGTGAAGTCCATCCAGACGTCGAGTGTGAGGGTGGATGTCCCACCAACGACATTGGTTGGGGTCACACTTAATCACGAATTGGTAGAAGTTAGAATTCATGGGCTGGCCATTGAATAGGGTCCCAGTGGCTGAATGGTATACGAGCTTTTCTTGTAACTGGAAAGTCCTGGGTCCGAACCCTGGCGGAGGGTACGTACTGCCAATGATTCCCAGACTAGGATGAAACAGCTGTCCAGTACTCCCCCGTGGGTTTTCAGTGGCTCTCTAACTGATATCAATCCGTGATCAACTCGTAAAAACAAAACTAAACCTTACAAACCAACTTTAGAAAGGCTATTCATTTTGTTTTTATTGGATGAGTTTGTTAGCCTGGCGTCCGACCCTTCCACTTTACCGCGCTTACTACTGACTTACCAAAGTTTAGAAGTACATCAGCGGCTAGAGGTCGAACCCCAGAACACATGTAACACATGACAGGTGAGTATTCTACCGTTGAACTACCAATCACACGAAACCAGGCGATAACTGAACGGCTGCTTCGTTCTATTTTGAGACTTCATCAGTAGGCACGCACCGGGATTCAAACCTAGGACCTTCTGGTTACAAGGTAAGCTCAGAAGTCATTCCGAGGGTAGAGATTGTCAAGACTCTTCAGCTTGAGGAAGGATGACATCATGAGGAGGGGGCGGTGGTAGAAGCCTAAGGGAGACATGTTTGCCGATAAGTCATCTTACGATGAATGCAGAAGTAAACAAGAGCACATAGAATGTCACCACCATATTTGAGGTTGGCAAGACTGCTCAGATTGTATAAGAAATAAGATATTATGAGAACAGATGGAATATATATTATGACGGAATGTTACTGCGTTTGTGGTGGGGTTCGTCTAAGCTGACTAGAATACGTCTCCAGACACACGACAATATAACCAACTGATCAACTGAAAATTTCTCCTACACGCTGAGATAGATACTAAAGCCAGATTTAATTGAAACAACAATCTTTATTAAACAAAATACATGGTATTTCATATTTTTACAAATCCTCAGGAATTTAGGCCATAAATAAACGAATCAAAAATCTGTCCAATCAGGTAATCATGACAATATTGCATGAATAAATAATGACTTCATGGCTAACAGAAAAACATTTTTCCATCCTAACACCTCACTTTGTTTATTAGTTTCCGATTGGGGAACCATTGGAAGATACTTTGTAGGTCTGCGTACTCTCCGTCTTTGAAGCTGATCAAGTCGTTAACTGAATGGAGTTAATTAATCTACACTAATTATCCAAACGGTTAGTACGTGGGTACTGAGGGTGTGGTTATCATTATATATTATCAGTAGTATCAAAGGAGTGCGTCAGTGGCAAAGCGGTAGAATGCACGCCTACCAAGCCTCATTCAGTCCGGAGTTTGATCCCTGAACGACGAGAAACTCCTTTACCTCAGTCGGTCGTTCGGTTTTCGACATAGAACTTTGCACATATGTACGGTAGTTCAAGTCGCCACACTTCACTCAGCACACAAAGCTAGAGAAGAAAGTAGGAGAAATGCATATTAGAGACAGTAAACAGAGGTGTGAGACAAAGGAATAGTAATAACGAAGAACAAAACAGTTTAACTGCAAATCATAAGTCACAAGGAATGGATGCATCTGCGCCACTGAGAACGATTTTGAGCCATGTCACCAATCGTTTCCAACCATTGGTTTTTACCGTCCTGAGGACCCCAACCAGTCAGGAAGTCTACACCTTCCTACGTGGCTGGCTTAGACTAACTGTCGTGGATTTAATTGACTGGTGCCATGTTTTCGTTTGACCGCCACTGGCTAGCTCTTTTCCAGCCTGGCCCTATATCAGCTAACATTGCTCATTGTCGAGGAAGGTGATGACTAGGGATACGTAACATATGTCCTAATCATCTCAGTCGATGTAATTTCACAGTCTCGTCGACTGATTTCTCCTCCTTACCTAGCACTCGACCGAAGCCTCACCTCAATATTGCTCACCTTATTATACCACTTCACGCGAGAGATAGAACGCAGACACCTATGCTCGAACACAGATAACCTTTTCATGTCTTCCACTCTCAATGGCCAGGTCTCACAGCCATAAAGGAGGACGGAGCGAACTGTTGAGCAGTATACACGCCCTTTGGTCGACAACTAGCCGGATATCACGTCTACGCTAGAGACGGCGTAAACTGGCATATACGAACCTAGCCCTCTGTATTCGTGCTGATATTTCGTCAGAGATCAACCCATTGGCATTGGCTGATGGTACTTCCCAAGTAAGTGAAGCGGTCAACGTGCTCTACCACTTCACTTCCTATTTCTAATCTAGGAGTCGGTGAAGTCCAATCCTGCAGCATCATCTTACATTTTACAGGGGCGAATCGCATGCCAAACATTCGTAGATTGTTGCTCAAGGTGTTCAGTAGACTCTGCATTTTGCCTAGAAGGACTATATCGTCCGCATATTCGAAGTCAACCAGATAGCCATAAGTAATAAGACCGGTAAAGATAGAAGGTTGGGCATGTGAGGCTAGCAACCCCATCTCGTAAAAATAAACACCACTGCTATCGAAACGTTAAACCTCTAGCTTGAAGCCCTATGTTCCACTGGGAGGAACATAAAGGAATAAAAAGCGAAACTGCAGTGAAGTTTCACATCGAATTTGTGCATATTGCCGTTTAAGAATTTGTTTAATGGAATCACCAGTTCACTAGCCAGAAATCATACATCATAAGAATACTTCAGTTTGTGGAATGATAGAATTCCTCGGTTGGAACTACTTCCACCAAGAATTACAATGTTGACTGTGTCCTAACAACCAAAACCCTCAAGTATTTCAGTTTGAATGCATGATGGAACCAATCCATGGGGTTCTTTTGCGTAGCTAGCTGACCAAACTTCTGCAAGTGACTCACCGTCCCGAAAATGCCGCTACGTTAGGAAATAGACAGGTACATGTGATAAACTCTTTGGTATTGTTAAATCCTAGTGACATATCAAAAGTACAAAACCCTCTCCAGTAAACGACGTTAGGTAGCACTAATAAGGCCTGTACATCAAAATTAGTTAACCAAAAAACCGACCGTAAGAAATAGCCCTGAAAATCAAACAGAATATCTCCCAACAAGGTTTGGGATTAGAACTCTAGCTTGAAGCCCTATGTTCTACGGGGAATGTGTAGGAATAAAAACAAAGTATCAAAGGTCTTCATGTAGTGAAAATAAATAAATTAAACATGACGACACATAAATAAGACTTGTCTATAGTAGCCCCAATTCATACAGTTTTCAATAATAACAACCAAATTTTGTAACTCATTAGTTGTGGGAGAGATTTACTCAATCCTGCCATAATTGAGTACATATTCAACAGTGGCCAGTCAATATGCAAGGAGAATTCATTCATCTAGTCAGCTACACAGCCAAAAGAAGCCTCGCGAAAACGGTGAGCTTCCATATACTTTGCACTGCCGAGGCCTTAGCGATCCGGTTAGAAAACCTTGACTTTTATGTAGACAGAAGGAACTTCCCCACCCTCTCCTTCTACTTTGGGTATAATTCCAAATTCACCTACTTTGATAATAATGCTTTTTTTGAATTTTTGCATGATATCATAGCAAAATCTTTCCCTTAATCAACCTTTTACTTACTCTTTACTATCCATTATATAATTTATTCTGGACATCTGTCTCCATGCTCCTATTTCATATTACCCAACCCCTATCAATACTTACCAAGCTTCACCCCTCCCCCAGTTACAATTTGATTATGCATCACATTTTAGAAACATTTTGATAACTTAAACCATAATCCTAACTAATTTTTATTTTCGTTTGACAATCTTGATGTACTCACATACACACACGAAATAATCTTATGTAAATGCGATTGTACAACTAAGTGAATGAATTCGCCAAAATAAGAGACTCTTCGCTGAACTTTTTATTCTTATATTCATGTCTGGATGGGTATTTTCCGTAAATTTAATTTGGTTGGAGAATTTCATCATAAGCTAACATCAATTAGAGAACCATTGGAAAACCTAGGAGTACTAGACAGCTGAGCTCAACAGTCCGCTCCGTCCTCCTTTATGGCTACGAGTGAGACCTGGCCATTGAGAGTGGAAGACATGAAAAGATTAGCTGTCTTCGATCATAGGTGTCTGCGTTCTGTCTCCCGTGTTAAGTGGTATAATAAGGTGAGCAATATTGAGGTTAAGTGTCGACTGCTAGGTAAGGAGGAGAAATCAGTCTACGAGACTGTGAAATTACATCGACTGAGACGGTTAGGACATATGTTACGTATCCCTAGTCATCGCCTTCCTCGACAACAGGCAATGTTAGCTGATATAGGATGGGCCAGGCTGGAAAAGAGCTAGCCAGCGGCGGTCAAACAAAAACATGGCACCAGTCAATGAAATCCACAACAGTTAGTCTAAGTCACGTAGGGAGATGTAGACTTCTTGGTTGGGGTCCTCAGGACGGTAAAAACCAATGGCTGGAAACAATTGGTGACATGGCTCAAAATCGTTCTCAGTGGTGCAGATACATCCACTCCTTGTGACTTATGATTTCCAATGAAACTGTTTTGTTCTTCGTTATTACTATTCCTTTGTCTCACACCTCTGTTTACTGTCTATATTAAGCATTCCTCCTA